TAGAGACATATGGAGTTCTTAGAAATTTCAATTTTGAGTATTTCCTTTTTTTTATAAAGGGTGAGTTTTTAGCTATTATCTTTGGGCAACAGCTGACGCACGTTTATTCAGTTTTAACTATGAATCGTCTTACAAACAAACAACGCTTGCAAATTATTGAATTTTATAATCAAAATGCGTACTTTCTTACGATAGTTCAGAAAAAAAAAAAATAAAAATGTGTTCAGCGACGAAGCTCATTTTTGACTTAATAGGTGCGTAAATAAGCAGAATTGTCGATTTTGGAGTGAAAATCAGCAAGAGCTACCAATGCATTCAGAAAAAGTCACAATTTTGCATGAAATAATGTTCAAACATATTTCATGCATTTTTCTGAATTTTATGTTTATTTTTTAAACTTTTCTATAGCTCTTAAAAAATCACCCGTTATATCATAATAGTCTCACCTAGACAAATATCCATGGATTAAAATATCAAAAATATATAAATATATTCGTGGAAAATTAAAAGAAATGAAGTGTTTTAAATATATGGACAATATTTAATAGAAGCAAAAACGGTGGAACAGAGAAAATGAAAAGATAATAATATAATGGTGTATTGTAATAATTATGTATATACATATATATCTATATATAAATTGTAATAATAAAATGGAATAAATCAAAATCTAGAGGAATAAAATCCGCAGATCAGCTTTTCAGGTATTAGGAAACGCTTCACCACGCCACGTTTTTTGCAGTACACACACGTATGTCCAAATTTACTTTAAATGCCAATATTATTTTATTCTCAATTTAATATGCATTACTCTTTGTTCAAGGTAGTTCCATTATAGGTCAGCTGGGTCAGTTAGTGACTTTCAATTTGTTTTTGTTTAATCTAAAAATACTAAACCCTTTGCAATTACTTTGTTAGTGTTCAAGTATCTTTGAACATGTTTATTTGTAAGCTGATAGGGAAAAGTGATTAAAATATAAAACTATAAATACAATGTAAACATAAAAATGAACTCAAGTGCATACACACATATATGTATATTAGGTATATGTAATCTAAACTCATTGGTATGCAATTGAGTAAAGCACATAAACTATACACATAAATTAAGCACTTGAGCGTCAAAAATGTTCCTCACACAAACCAATGTAATTAGTCAATAAGGATAAATTTAAGAAATTGTATATAAAGAGAAGATTTAATAAACTAGAATTAGAACGAATTGATTCTCCCACAAAGCAAATCTTTGATTTCCCCCCACCGGCGGTAAGGAATTTTAGACAATACTTTGTGGTCTTTACAGTTAGTCTTCCTTTAAAATTTTAGAGCCATCAGCAAAAATGAAGACGAGCAAAGGCTGGATATCTGAGAATAGGTCAGAGAAATTCCACCCCCATAGCAATCAGAAATTCACCAAGTGGTTCTGTTCGATTTTCGGCGTAATTTACAGCCAATATTAATATTTAGTGAATGCCAAATTGCATATGGAATGATTGCACAGTTTATAAAGAATTTTTCTTGGTGGTTCCGAAGATTCCCGGACGAGCCTCCAGAATGCCGACCAAAATATTCCACTGATGACGTCACTGTAGCTCTGGTGAAGTCGAAAATTAAGGAAGACCCACGTTTGACACAAGAAATGATTGCTATTGAATTCGGCTTGAATGCCATGGCTGTATCGCGAATATAAGTAATAATCTTTGATAGACGAAGAAATCCGCTTGATGGGTACCACGAATTTTAAATGAGGCCCAAAAATAACAAAATGCACTAGAGCAAACAAATTTAAAAATGGCCAGCCCAACAACTTCAGTAAATTCGTTAGTGCCGTCGAATCCTTGTTTTATAAGTACGATCCAGAAACCGAACAGTAGTCTATGGTACGGAGTCCAACATCAGCACGCCCACCCGTGCAGTCTTAGCAACAAAAATCAGCAACAACGTTAATTATGTCAGTTCATTTCACCAGATCTACAATCGAAGCAGCTATTTCCCTGGAAAAGGGTCAGACGGTAACCTCAAAACGGTATACCGAAGAGTGCTTACCACAAATTTAAAAAAATTCAATTGAAATCAATTATGATTATTATCACCCTTTAATAGAGAAGATAAAAAGGACAAATAATACGAATAAATACAAAAAGAATTTTTGTATTGTTTGAGTATCAAATTCACTCACGGAACTTTTATTAATCTCCTCATATAGTATGCGGGGTGGTGTATAGTCAAGCTTCGCGGAGCTATGCCTATTTTCTACTCTTCCGTCCACGTGACATGTCTCCAGTATTCGGAAAAAGTTAATGGGGTAAGCAATGCAGTTGGCTCACAGCCATTGATCCATTTTAGTGTTTTCGATGATTTGATGACTGAACTGTTAGCTTCGAAAGCTATGATCGACCATCGTCTTATGATGGAGAAATAACAGCGTTTGAAACGCTATCTGAATATAAATAAACACTACTATTTATTAAAAATCAAATACTTGATCATGAAATAAAACTGAGAAGCATTGATAGTGATACAAGTGTAAGAGTTTTACAATCCGTAGCATTCCACAAAACGTCCATAAAACAGCCTCGTATAATTTTAAAAATAAATACAAACACAAGTATTTCAGAAGTAGTTTTAAAGGGAAGATAAAGTGCCATCAATGCGGAAAAAAGGACAAATTAAAAAAGGCTGCTACGCACACAAAAAGGTTTGAAAGAACCAAGTTTTCGAAGGATCAAACACGGTTCAAACTGCAGTTGCGCAGCAGGATAAGGGATTTGTGTTCATGATGGGACGTGATGTGCAAAGACCTAGAGGTAGAGTGTGTTAAAACACCAGTTGATATTTTGCTCAGGTAGAGCTGTAGAGATCATTACAAAGCCCGCGGCGACCGATAAAAAGCTGTAGGCACTACAAGAGATGCTTGGTAGTCATTCCAGTAATCTCTTCTTGGTTGCAAGACAAATGAAAGCTGTTATATTGCCTTTGTATGGGTTGTGTCCACGATATCTAGAAGATTTTAGTTCACTGTGTTCTGTGTAATCCACACCTGTTGCGATAAGTTTTTTTTATCAGTTGAGTCGCTGGTTTGTTGCGAAAGTACTGAACACATTGGCGAAGATGATTTTGTACAGTTTTGCGTGCATGAATTATCCAAAACTGTTTCCGAATAAACGCGAGAGTCAATTGTGCAATACATTGCTTGGTCGATCATAACCAAAAACTACCACTCCACTGTAGTTCCATTTGTTGTAGTTGTTTCGGAGCAAGGCCCCGAGTTGCACAATCTGCCGGATTCTCGATTTTGAACATATGTTTTCCATTTATTTATATCAGCCTCAAGTAGAGCACTATAATTGCGTCTATGCAGTAAAAAATTAGAATTTCCTTATGTATTTCGTTAAGTTGTTTCTGCACCCAATTAGCGAATCCTATAGCTAGAATCGCTCCACAAAGCACCACACGTGGAATGGTAATCGGGCATGTTGGAGTTACTTTGGTTTTGACGGCAACCAAGTATGTATGCATGTTATCGTTGTGTAATCGAACGCGAAGATACACTAAAGCGGCGTATGCTGACGAGGAACCGATACAGATTACATGTAACTCCAGGGTGATGGGGTGAAAAGCAGACCCAAGGTGGGATAGATATTGTTTTTTATACCTGCTAGTTCAGTAACGAATTGTTGCCACCTAATGTCAACCGATGATGGTAGCTCTTCATACCCATCTAATGCGGTGATCTGACGGTCTTCACGTTGTTTTTTTAATGTCCAGATCTCTTTTATAAAGATTTCTGCAGCAAATGTAACTGGACTGAAAACCCCGCGGGGGTCAAACAAGTATGCGATGGTGGATAAAACGGAACGTTTCGTCAATGATGGATTTATTTACAAATTAATTGAAAAGCTGAAAGAGTCATGGATAGGCTGCCAATATAGGCCAAGTGGTTTCACTGTTGTGTTGTGGATAAGCTCCATCGTTGGAATCGCTTCCATTGACGACGTCGTCGACGTTTATCTCATTACGCAAAATATTTTGTATTCAATGCAAGGTGATGTAATAATCCAATTGTCGTGAATGCTGCTGATGCTGTTTGAAATGTAACAGTGGTGATGCAGTACTCCTTGATCTGTCCATATGTATCCCGGCACAATATTCTTTGACACTGCGCATCATCCGGATGCATATCGATGCATCGGTACAGTTTTTGTATATCTGCGAGAAGTACGTAAGTTTTAAAATTACAAGGGGAAGTTCATTTTGTAAGGCAGGACAAGAACAAAGTAAATCGTTCAATGATCGGCCGTTTGACGTTTTTGCCGAAGTATCATAAACAATTCTTAACTTGGTAGAAACGCTCTCATTTTTATAACTGCATGGTGCGGTAAAACGCAAGCAGTTACGGTGGGTTTGTTGTTCGCAGTATAAGAAAATGCTGCTCCTCAGTTGTGGAGACCCATGCAATTTGTTTTAATTTATTATAGTCTTCAATGCTTTGGAAGTATTGATTGCGTACCTTAATGTCACATTGCAAGCGACGTTCAAATTGGTGAAATCTATATAGAGCAAACGTTTGATTAGGATATATAAGGATTTTAATGGTAACCAGACTTAATATTGTTGCGAAAATGCGAGGCGAATGTCAGATGAAAGAGAGAAGCCGATAACTAGTACGATAAAACGAGAACCTTCCATAGCGAACAATTCGATGCTTCTACGCTTTCGTCTGCGAGCAGCCGACTGCTATATAAAGGCGACACTCAGCTGCAAGTCAAGCAGTGACAAAGCAAATTGGTTGGCGTTAACATCAGTGAAGACGTAAAGTGAACGCGTTGGGAATTACATTTAAGTAGAGGAAATTGTGAAAGTTGATGTTAGTGATTATAAATAGTAAAGTGCAGTATAATTGAATTGTGAATTACTGAGAAAATAAAGGACATTAGATAGAATCTTTATAACGAAAGAAACTGCAAATTAAGTTGGCGAGTTTTTATTTAACAATCCAGAGATCGTACCCGAAGGATCTAGAAAATAATCGAGGTTGATTCAGTAAAATCGTAACAATATTTGTAATACGCTTGCCATACGTGTTTCGAACGGAAGAACTCTTCACACCACTGGTATTGTCCTTATAAAGTTGCACGAGTGCCTCCAGTTCAATATTGCTGTTATGACATCGTACTACTACAATTGATGCTGGTTCTGATTTAATGGGTCCAGACAATATCCACCCCAAGCGAGCGTTCTGTTCAATTGGTTGATCTGGTTCAGCGATTCGAGTTTCCGGTAACATTATTTGTTTAGAATCAGCAAGTAAAAGGTTGTTTATGTACTCTAAGTTTGGTAGAATAATGGATTTACTTGGCAACGGTGCAGTTAAATGTCTTAATACGAAAGCTAAGTCTACAAAAGCGAGAACTCTGTCATCTGAACGGGAACCTAAAATGCAACTTACAACTGACTTGGATTTCTAAAATTTGTTCGAACCCAGAGGTAGGATATCTTTGGAGACATAGGCTTTGAACCATCCTCTTTCAAATGACCCTTGATCGATGAGAGCGTAAGCTGGCACTGACTAATAAGTGGCGTCGCTATGAAGTAGCACCAAATTGGAAGCGAATAGTACTTGACGAGTTGGTTGGATGCTCTGTACCTTCGAATGAGAGTGAGTGGAATTTACTACAACAAAAACATGTGCGTTCGTGAAAGGCGTTGATTTATTAATAGTGCTTGTAGTCGATGATGCGTGGCGTGAAACCGATGTGTTTTGCGATGGAGTATCTGTTGGGTGTTGAGCCGAATTGCCTATAGTAAGCTGTGCTGATGGACCGAAATTATTGTTACTACTGTAAGGAAAGTGTAGGATGCGGCTTCCCACATTGCAAGCAATTCTTGCTGCTGGAACACTGTGCTAATTAGTGCGGCTTACTAAGACAATTAAGGCTTAGCTTAGCATTGTCGATTCTTATTTTTCTTTCATAACAGTCTTTAGAAAGAAACCTTGGACAACGTTTCTTGTTGAGGAAAATTGCTTTTTATTGAAACCTGCCAACTCTTAAATTTGTAATTTTATCGGAAATTATATTTAGATTGTAGTGCATTTGAATGACGGAATGTTCGGTCCTTAAAAAGCGGAGTGGAATATAATACGTTGCAGGTGACGTTGCGATTTTCGATGGCGTCTATAGTAAAGAGACGTGATTACAATCCGAAATTGGAATTTCAAGTCTTTTGAATTCATTAATGCAATGATTGGCAACATATGGCATTGCTTTTATTTGAACAGGCACCTCTTTGGTGAGAGTCGGAAACTTGTAAAGGGTATTCATGACGATGTGAAAACAATATACAAGGAATGTTATACCTTTGAACCACTACATCCCACACTGTCATATATTTCAATTCAGTAAGGAGTATGTGATGAATGTCCTTATCTCGATCTAGTGGAAACGCCTTTAAGGTAAGGAAATTTCTGTATGGCACTGAGTTTAACGTTCAGGTGAATTAATTGATGAAAAGTATCGTGAAAACGAGGCCATTCCGTGAATTTTCCTGAAAACATAAGAATTTGTAAATGAGGGACAAATGAGAGTTTGTTTGGACAAATGAGAGTTGAGAGCTCGCATTTACTTATTGAATAATCGGTGAAGGCAATAATTCATATTGTTGTTCTGTTGCTTGAAATCGAATATTTCTAAGAGTTTGTAAGCATTCTCTCCAGAGATGAAAACCTGTACATTTGTACCTTAATCAAATCCTCAATATTTTCACTCATTTTACTTCATTGACTAGATTAACACAAGCCTAACCTAAATGCACACACTTACCGGCACTAAGTCTTCTTAGCACTCGAAATGACGATTGCTGGGAACTGTGTATTGCTTTTGTCTTACACGTGTTGAACTCATTTGCGAACTGCAACAGAATTGTAGACTTTTTTCGTTGATTGTGTAGTAAATATGTGTAGTAAAGAATACTATTGTATTTGGGGTTCTTCAGATCAATTTATTTTGTAATATGTGGATGAATGTACAAATTAAACTTCAATGATACATATATAAAATATAGACGAAAATTGGCTGCCCTTCGATGTTAACGCGTTGATGGTTGTTAATTGAAAGGAAAGAAAATATGAGAATTTTCGGTATGCAGCCAAATGAGCCAATTCCATGTCAGTTGAGTATGCAAAAGAATTATTGGTAGGTAACCGTTAGGTATAAATCATACGATGTTCTCTTAAAGTATAGGGTGCTATGTGAAGTCACATACGAATATTTACTTTAGCCAAACTTCGTTGAATATGTATTTGTTAAAGATTGTACATTCTGTTTTGCGTAACATTCCGGAAAACCTAATTTCCTTTAAAAAGATGCAAGGCTCTGGGATGACCATTGAATTTCATACGGGAGGTGCTTAGGTCTCTAAAAGTGGTAAAGTAGTTTTTGAAAATGAAGACCTTCCATATATTGATTTGCTGTAATGTAATAAAATATATACATCATATAATAATAACTATCGATTATGCCATGAGAGGGTAGGACATATTAGTAGAGTTAAATTTTTAGAAATTCAATGTAAGGATATTGATTGATACTCTCATCTTTTAAACAATGTGCAATGTAATAATGATTTATATGATACTTGTATATATGGAAAACAGGCTAGATTACTTTTTGAAACATATAAAAAATAAAGACTACGTAAACAGGTTTTTATTCAAAATTCATTCGGATGTTTGTCGTCCAGTTGCACCTTCTTCAGTTGACCGTAAAAATTATTATGTAATTTTTGTTGATCAATTTACTCACTACTGTGTAACTTATCTGATTACTTTTAAATGGTACAAAATTGAACAAAAGCTTTTGGGGTGAAGCAATATTAACAGCTACGTACTTAATCAACGATTTTGATGATTTGTTGATTACAACAGCAAATATTAAGACAATAGACGAAAAGAAAGATAATCAGCAGTGCTTAAGTCAAATCACTTACATTAAAAATATATTGAAGAAACTTAAAATAAACTGTAAATTTCTTAATACTACACTTCGAAAAGTCGATTATGGGGCATTTCAGATGAACGATGTGATGCACCATGCCGTAATTTGATTGACTGTTTAATGTAGTCGTATGTTTTGTTATGTTCACGTTTAGACTTAAATATATCTTTTAAAATTGTGAGTCGATATATACCAAAAAGAATAATGCAAAAATATGGAGATATTTGGTATTTCAATTATCTCAAAGGTACTGTCAATTTAAAGTTAGTTTACGTTCAAATTAAATGTTTATAAAAACAGGTTTTGTTGATTTTGATTGAGGCGGAAATGAAACTGACAACTAAAAGTACAAAGAAGCAAAACTCTGTAGCTGCTTCATATACTGAAGCAGAATATTTGGCATTATTTGAGCCCGCGAGAGAAGCTTCATGATTGAAGTAGTTATTAAAAAGTCGGAGGATTGAGTTGCTCGAGCCAATAAAATTTCTCGAAGATAATCAAAGTTGTATATGCATTGCTAATAGCCCATCATGTCACAAAAGATCAAAACGTTTGACGAATCCATTACATGCAGACCGATACCTAAAATTAAGAATGGGACTCGCAGATGAAATATATTGAATATAACAAGATCTAATTAATCATATTAAAACTTTATTTTTCTGAATTTTTCCCTATCTTTGCACCTTACACAGCTGTTTCATTTTGATCAATCAAGTTTTTACCAGGTGTGTTAAACTTTTTTCCCATTAAATAAATATGTTACTACCATTACTCATTGTAAATGTTCACACGAAGAAGACTAAATTTACGTGATCAATTACGATTAAATTTGTAAATGTATAATTGTCAATTTCAAACAAATTAGTGAATTTAGGTACATTCTTTCATTTATGTAATGTTCATTCTTTGCATGAATACATGATTTTATCAGTAGATACGAGTTGTGTGCATGGCGAGTTGTGTGGGTAAGTAATAAATATTCAAAGGAAATTGGACTTGGCTGTTTTTCATTTTAAAATTTATTTTTGAGAATAGCAACTACGTGTTGCAGTAAGTAGAACTATTTTTTTTTTCTTTTTTTTCAAAATTATAGATTTCTATACAATACTGTATATAAAATTGATAACCAAAAGTTGGCTGATATACCGCGTATATTATGGCCCTGACTGTAAGGTTATGTTTACAAACATAACACTACATCCCACCCATAACCAGCCCCTTATCCCGTGCGTGGCTTTTCCAGCAATTCCTAGCCCCCCGCAAATTCTGTTTCATGTGTCGGGCCATAGTGCGTCTCCCGCTTTAGCTCGAGCCATTTTCGTACGGCTTGCACACCACCCGTGATTGGAGAAATGGGTACGTTGCCCCATGCCGTAGGAATATGCATTCGTCTATATCTACAACAACATCGAAAACCAACTTCAATGTGAGGCATTCAATACAGCGGGAATTATAGCAAAAATACCCGACTCCCAGTAATCTTATTTAATATATACATTCCTTCTGGTACAAGTTGCCCAGCTGTATATAGCTCCGATATGGGTGCGCTACTCTGACCGTTTAGTTTTGGGCGACTTTGACGCAGTTCACGATCATTGGTATTCTGTCAAACTACGGTAGAGGGAAGGAGCTGGCAGAGCAAATAAACGATTTGGTGTTCAGCACCATGAACGATAATACCCACACCAGAGATGTCGGAAATCGCCAAAGCTCGCCAGATATAACAATTGCTAGTGCTGGTCTGATAAACAGTGTAGCCTAGGCGACCTATACTGACATTATCATCGAACTACCTACTCATACAAATCTGGACATTTGTTAACCTCAAGAAAGCTAACTGGCCGACCTCACAGAATTTACCGAGAACGTCCTCAGTGCTCACTTCACTCCATCAGACTTCACAGCCGGTGAATATTTATTCCGTAGAATCGTATTGACCACTGCCGCCTGCTTCATCCCGGCAGGTCGAATCGCCCAATTCACGACAGAAGGGGCTCTAACATCACGGCGCGACTCTATTTGCAAGGCTGATACAGGTAATGCTCTAATCAATTAATCGCTACAACAATAAGATCCCCTTAACAAGGATCTCAACCAAGAGATTCGGCGAATAGCAGACAATCATGAGCAGAAAAGTGAGATGAGACTTAAGATCCTGCAATCTCTCTTCTGGGGCAACCAAGCTCTAGGCTACAGTCAAGTTATTTTGGTGACGAGAAATCCGCCTCTAGTGCAACGCTTGACTTCTTCAAAGAAGGGTTTCAGGAGCTTATCGGGAAGGCGAAATCCTCCAAATCTATCGGCCCCGGTGTAATAAGCATGCTGATGCTAAAACATCTAGTAGCAGTAGGAGCTCACTTTCTCATCAAGGTCCTTAATCTGGCTTTGACCATCCTAAGAATACCCGACGTAGAGAAAATAAGAAAGGTGGACCTTCTACCCAAGCCGAGGAAGCCAGCAAACAAGTGAGAGTCATATGGACCGATATCCCTGCTTTCACCATTAGCGACTAGCACTTATTCACTGCACGGCAAATAAAAGTACAGCCGACGCAATCCACGGCTATCTCTTTCACCAGCTGGACGAAGGAATACAGGACCGAACTTGATGTGAGAGTCGATGACGTAAAAATTTTGACCATAAATAACCCTTAGATATTGGATGTCATACTTGACAGCCTGCACTGATTCACTACGCATATGAAAACCTACAAAGTAACCAGCAACACGTGCAACAACCGTTGGCCAGGACAGCATACAGACAGGCACTCAACGCCATTCACCAAGAGTCAGTTCAAAGACTCAATCCCTGTGATTGGCGTCCTCGGAGCTCAATCACCTCCCATAGCAGACGAAAAGTTCGACCCGCCTCTTAGTACTGGCGCAACATTGGTTTGGATATTGTAGCAGGCAGCAGACTCAACCCCAACATACCCAGTCCCCGTACGTCTCTGTCTCCCTCTTTGCATGCCGCTTACCCGTCGTAACAGATCTTTTCTTGGACCTCCCTTGAGATGACCTCGGTGATTTAGACTAACTAGCCTGTCCCTAGGCGGGGTTAGAAAATACGCTACAACAATATAAAAATAAATTGTATAACTATTTAAACTGAAAAAGATGAACAGAAAATTTATGTGCTCACATATATATAATTGGCGCTTTGTAACCGCAGAAAGAATTTTCGGACGGGCTCCTTCCCTAATTAGTTCTTCGTGATGTTTTTCCAACAAATGGAGGCATCTACGGTTTATTCTAAGTCGTTTCCGAATGGCTGATGAATATTTACGAGGACCTTCTATTTAATGTCAGAAGTACACTCGGACGGCTTTGTAATTTACTCGTGTGGAATCACCCTCTTATTATGAAAAGAACTAATTTAATTTAATTAAACTTACTGAAAAATACCAATTTAACTTAATTTACCTATATCAATTGAAATTAATTAAGTTAATGTTGATAAAACGTTTGAATGATATTGTTTATATATTGGGAGTCTAACATAAATCTAATATATTAAGCTTCCAAGATTTAGTTAGGAATAAGTTTTTCGTTCTACTACAAGATCTGGCAAACGTCATACTTGAAATGCGCGTCTAGAAGCTATATATTTATTGCTCAAGCTTGCGCAAATATACGTGTATATGTACATGCGCACTAAATGTTAATCGAATTAGTTTCTCATAGCAAATTAAGGCTCATGTAACTTTATACTTATATACTCACTCATAAGCTTCCGCTACGGTCAGTGGACTGCCTTGAATGGACGTACGTCCAGACGTAGGCGTAACCGTAGTAAGACCATTATTACCGCTAGTCATTACGAGTGGACGCATAGATGTGCTGTCACTGAATGTACGCATCTCATCATGAACACTGAAGTCATTATAATTAGTGGTATTACTACTGACCCCAACGATTGATGGGGCTCCAAATCGTGCCTGCATAAGACTTTTCGTAATATGATTAATGCCATCAGCAACGCTGCAGCGGTTGTAATCATACATCAAAGTCGTATCGGGGCAGTCACCGATAGTTGGTGTTGATTCAGCACCACCAATATTTCCATTTAATTCAGATCTTTGGTTTTTGCGGTCATGTCTAAAACTTGTTCCACGTCGTCGAAAAGATGACCATACTGTACCAAAAAGTGTGTGGTGCCTCTGTAATATAAATTTAAGAGTTAATATTTTTCATTTAGATGAAGATAGCTTTCACTGTCATAAGATGCCTTGTTGAACCCTCTATGAAAGTAAAAGATAATATTTTATGGAAATTGGGCACAATCGACACAAATAAACACGGAAGAACATTAAATTTTTTTAAAAATCTTTGAAAAACAAGAGAGTCGATGTGTTATTGTTTAATAAGTTACTGAGAAATCAAAATATAAAGTACCGAAACGAAAAACGTTTTTTCGGGCGTAAGGATAATTGTTTTTAACTAAATTAAAACAGTTATGCAAGCTTATAATCCACCTACTACAAAGTAATTTTGAATAATAACATACTCTAATACTTTATGAGCATGAGACGAGTGGTAAGAAGCTCGGAAGGGTATTTCTAATATGAAATAAAAAAATTCATCTTAAAAATCAAACCGCAGTTTATGGGCGACTCAGAATAAACTGTAGGTCCCTGTATTTGTTGAAAAACATTAAAATGCACATCACAAATCGTAGAACGAGCTTGGCTCATTATTTCCTTATGTTTCAAAACTTTCCCCGACCTCCACCACAACTAGATTGAATGAAGAGAGCTAGTTGTGGTAACGAAAATAAAATCCGGTTTTTTATCACGATCCGCGAAGGAATCAACTACTGATGAGATCCAGCTAGTTTACATATTAGGAAGTTTAATTTATTGTAATACTATACATATTTATGTGGGATTCTAATAAATGCATCCCTGAACGATATTGACAGCAACACTGACTGGACGAGGCTTGGGTGACGGACATAAAATAACGGATAAAGGAACATTGGTTGAAAAGTTTAGTTTAATTTGAGAAGTTAAAGAGTTCCGTTTAATTCGATTGACTTAAGTTAAATCTAAAAATAACCTGCAAAAAGTTATATAAAATATTAAAGAAGGAAATGTTACACAAAATGTAAAATGAATTTAATAAAAGTGCATTTTGTAATTTGTATTTGATTGCGAACCCTACAAATGGTGTCAGAAGTGATTAAAAACGCATAAAAGTACTTTGTAAAGACATAGTATATGTATGTATAAATTTGTACCGTACATATAAACTGGAAAGCAATGCGAAATTCATAAAAAGGGCAGAGAAGCCCTAGCGCTCCGCGTGAACTACGGAAAATTCTAACTGTAATACGAACAGTTATGTAAAAAAATAAGAAAAGCGATTCATAGGAAAGGCAGCGAAGCCCTAGCGCTCCGAGCGAAGAGACCAAAAGTGTGGTGAGAAAAAATACAACGATTGGTCGTGTAGATATGTATGTAAATTACGCGGAGAAGTAACAAAGGATACACGAAGCGAAGACGACAATAAGAGAAAGATGCAGTAGCATCACAGAAAAATAGTATTGTATGAGTTGAAGATCGTGCGTTATTATGAATAGTAGATAAGTGCCAAGAAGGCAGTGCAGTAACAGTAATAGCAAAGTGAGTGAATTCTGTCGTGCTAAGATGGTGGTATTTTGCACGACGGAGTAGTAAGCAGACGAGACAAACAGCCAATGAACATCGGAGAAGTGCAACACATTGCAGATCATTATTTCATTTTTAATACAGTTTTATAAAGCTAAGTGGTAGTAGTTTTCTGTAAAAATTTTTGAAAAGAATTAGAAATTATTTTATAATTCTTAATTAATTTTTGAACTAAATTTTAGTTATTGCTTGTAACTTATTGTATTTCAAATAATTTAGGATATTAATAAAATGGATAGAGCAACAATTTTGAGACTAAGCAAGGTTGAACAACAGGATGAGTTAGCTAAGTTAGGACTTAATACTGTTGGACTTAAAAATGACCTACACAATAGATTATTGGAACACTTAGGGTTAACTGTTGACGTCGACGATGATTCGGTCTATGATGAAGCTCAAGAATCTATTCAAAACACAGTAAATGAACCAAGAGCTATATTCACGTTAAGGGATATAGAAGATTCTCTTGTTTCATTTACTGGGAGTGGTCAGCCGACTGTGGAAAAGTGGTTAGAAAATTTCGAAGAAAATGCGAGGGCTGTAAACTGGAATAATTTGCAGAAGTTTATTTATTTTAAGCAGTTGCAAAGGTGCTGCAAAGATTTTTATTCGAAGCCAGCTCGGTATTACAAACTGGGAAGTACTTCAAAGCGCACTTCTTGACGAGTTTGGGGTTCAGTTTTCTGCGATTGAAGTACATCGTCAACTAAGAAATCGCCGTAAGAAAGAAGGGGAAGATATGAGAGAATATTTGTACTCAGCGAAACAGCGGTACCCAAAAAATGTTTTACTTGTAGTGAATCTTCTCATTTGGCAAGAAATTGCCCACAAAATTTAAGATGTTTTAAATGTAACCAATTAGGACACCGCGCTGACTAATGTTCAAGAGGAAACCCACTCATTAAAGTGGAAAAAAGCAATGTGAACGCAATGGGTAACCAAGAGATGTAATGGTCGGGTAAAGGAAACAATCTAGTCTTTAAACATATTGCACTAAATGGTTATATATTTCCGAGTCTTATCGATACAGGTTGTGAAGTATGTCTTATCAGAAGCGATATCTTACACATGATAGGAAATATAGAGTAAAACAAAGATAAGAGCCAGTTAGTTGGTATTGCAGAAAGCGAGCTTACTACGCTTGGTAGCTTTTCGCATAATATATACGTAAACAATATGGAGATAACTTTTCATGTAACACCCAAAAAAGATATTCGTTTTGCCGCAGTAATTGGTAGTTGTGTGTTAAATCAGGTTGACTTGTTTGTTACTAAGGACGACGTTCAGTTTCGTCGTAAAGATAAAGAGTTGACTTTAGCTGAAACTTCCATACCAGTCAAGCTAGGCACATGCAAGGTCGAGAAGGTCAGCTCAGAAAATAAAGTTTACGTGCTATTAGAAGAATTTTAGGATATTTGTATGATGGCTGGAACAGAAGTATCACATATAAATCATAATTTGGCAGCCAGAGTTACTCATGTGGTGGATGATTATAATCCAATTGAGGGGGAAAGATCTCCGGTAGAGATGTTGACTGATGAGCAACCAGTACATGAGCGCCCAAGAAGAGTATCATTGACAGATAAAAAGTTTTTTGAGGAGCAAGTTACTGAATGGTTACGTGAAGGAATAATCCAACCTGGTGTTTCAGAGTACTCGTCTCCGGTAGTGTTAGTCTCTAAAAAAGATGGAAGCAAAAGATTGTGCTGCGATTATCGTCGTCTGAATGAAAAAATTGTTAGAGATAATTTTCCAATGCCTCTTATCGACGACGTGCTTGATAGGGTTCAAAGCGCAAAGGTGTTTACAACTTTGGATCTAAAAAATGGTTTCTTTAATGTTTCCCTGGCGCCAGATCATCGAAAATATACATCTTTCGTCACTAACAACGGTCAATATGAATTTTTATTCGTACCTTTTGGAATTTCAAACTCCCCTGCCGTGTTTACAAGATTTATAGCCGTAGTGTTTAGAGAACTGATTGCTGATGGTGATGTAATTACGTATATGGACGATCTAATAATTCCTGCTAATGATGAAACAGAAGGTATAGAAAAGCTGGAGCATGTATAAGAAGTGGCTGCAAAGAACAATTTACGCATAAAGTGGAGCAAATGTCAGTTTTTGCAACAGAAAGTTACTTTTTTTGGGCTACAAAATAGAATTCAGTATATGAGTAGAAGAACTAAACCCAATGAAGAGTTGTTTCACTCCTACGAGTAAGAGGCGTTAGCGGTAGTAGAGGCTGTTAAAAAGTGGAGAATTTATTTATTGGGGATCAAATTTAAGATCATAACTGAATGCAATGCGTTTGCATTAACATTGTGCAAACGGGAGGTTCCGCCTAGGGTCTCTCGTTGGGCATTACTTCTGCAGGATTATGATTACAGTATTGATCATCGTAGCGGAAGTAGAATGAGACATGTAGATGCACTGAGCTGAATTTCTTGTCTAATGTTGGAAGACACTTTGAGTCATCGACTTAAGCAAGCTCAGCTTACGGACGACTGGATAATGGCGGTCAGAAAAGCACTAGAGTCAGGACAATATGAAGATTTTTACATCAATAGAGAATTGCTTTTTAAAAATCCCGTTAAGGAGTTAATCGTGGTTCCGACATTGATGGAAGAAGAAATCATACGAGCGGCCCATAGACAAGGACATTTTTCAATAGGGGATCGAGGCTGCTGAAAAAACATTTTTTATTCCACAGTTACGTTCGAAGGTAGAAAACTTTGTTAGAAGTTGTGTGGAGTGTATTGTGATGGCAAGTTAGAATGGCAAAAAGAAGGTTTTTTGTGTACAATAGACAAGGAAAGTAAGCCAATAGGGACTTATCACGTGGATCATGTTGGCCCAATGGAATCCACTTCAAAGCAATAAAACTATATATTTGTAGTAATAGACGGGTTTTCCAAGTTTGTTTGGCTTTATCCAACGAGAAATACGGGTGCAGACACTGTAGTAGAAGCTTAAGCAACAAGCTGCAATATTCGGCAATCCAAAAAGAATAATATCAGATCGTGCGTCAGCATTTACGTTAGTGCTTTTCAAGCAGTATTGCGAGAGCCAGGAAATTCAACGTTTGCTAATCGCTACCGGGTTACCGCGGGAAAATGGTCAAGTGGAAAGAATTCATAAGATTATTGTCCCAATGATTGCAAAATTTAGCCAAGGTAATCCAAATAATTGGTACAAACATGTTGCTAAGGTACAACAGATACTAAACAACACTCCGCCGAAAAGCACTAAAGTATCCCCATTTAAAATACTTACAGGTATAGAAATGCGCTTAACACAGTTAGATAATATGCGTGAGGTTCTTGGTGATGAAACTCGAGCAGAAGCCAAACGAAATATAGAGAAAATTCCAAAAGAAAATCGAAAGATGTTTAATCTTAGGCGTCATCCGAGGCGTATGACAGTTCAGGATGGCCGTATGTGGGATCCTAATTAATGCATCCCTGAACGATATTGACAGCAACACTGAC